AATTAGTAATATGTATATTTATTTAATCCTTTTAAATTTAAGACTAGTGAAAGTATTAAAGGGTATTTTAGATATTTTAATATTAATATGATTAATAGAAGGAGATTACTATTATTTACAATCCTTTTATTGTTGTTTAAAATCCCATGTTAAGAACTTTTGAATAATTCTAAGTTATCCCTTCGTAAATAAACACATATATATCCTCAATTTATAACTTAATTTTAATATAATATTTTTACCTTTTACCTACCATCCTTTTCTTTTTATTTTTCCCCTTCTCTTCCTCCACATCTTCCTTTTTTTTTTTTAATCACCGATAAATGATGAAATGAAATAAACTAAAGATCAAAAAAGAAGAAAGTAAAAAGTATTTTTTTATATTTATTATAATATTTTTAGTATTATATATATTTTATAATAATCCAGAAGACATAATCTTCTAGGTCAGTTATATTAACCCAAAAGATGTTAAATTCTAGACCTTTGTAAATTATGTTAGATGCATCGACTCCAATCATACAAAACTTGATGATAATAACAGGATGTAAATAGTAAAAATAGGGCCGTAAATAGTTATATATATATACATACATATATATATATACATATATATATATATATAATTTTGGATGGACAAAATATGTTATGAATAAGTCTTTTCCTAAATAGACAAACAAATATTCAATAGATATTTTACTTTACTATTTATTATCACCAAGTTTTGTATCATTGGAGATAGCACATTGAATTGGCAGAAGGTTGAGCCGATCTAAGCAACATGAGGTAACATTAATTTTGAGCTAACTTGCATTGCAATATTTTATTTTTTGAGGGTCTTAAATAATGTGACCATCAGAGATACCTGATTTCTTGTCTGATCACCCATTTGATTGATTTGGTCCGTCTACCAATGATGATTATTATTATTATTAAAGATTTTAATATGCTGATGCTAGACAACATTGAGTCATACAAATGTGTCCAAAGTAAAGTTATAGCTGGCAAAATAAGACAGACTAGAAAAAAAAGGTGTCTTCTCACTATGTGTGCTTCATGTTTGGCCTAAGGAAGATATATTTTTCACATTTAACCTAAGAGATAAAATCTTCGAAAATATTTTCATACTCGAGCCAAGGTAGACGTTTCAAAAATATTTTCATATTTAACCTAAGGAAGATATTTTAGACACATTTTTATACTTAACTGAGAGACACATCTCGGATGCATTTTTAAAAGCCTAGCCTGAGAAAAATATCTTGGGCTAAACATAAAAAATGAGTATATTTTTATGCTTGGCCTGAGGAAGAAGAGTTTACTTAAAACAAAAGTTTGCCATCTCAATGGATCAGACACATCAGGCGGAAACCTTCTGATGTGGCTGCTGTAGGCATTTTCTCTCTCCTAAAGAAAAACAGCCAAGAAATGGCAAACAAAGAGGCAATTGTTATTGAGCTGATCAATGTATGAAAACACTTAAATTTGTTTACTGCATACCTGGTGAACACTTGAACAATACACCAAAAGAATGAGAGGAGGAGGAGAAAGAGTAGAATCACTCAAAATACTCCCATTGTGTTGTAGTTGGTGGATCAAATGTCTCCCACTTCGTTGTCACAACCACTGGCTTCAATTTGGTGTTGGAAACTTTCAGCACATCCAGTGTTTCAACACATTTTTGTACTCTTTTAGCCTGGAGAATAACACACAACATTAGTGTGGTTCAATATAGAATTGAAAACTATCTTCAAGAGAATTAATCTGGAAAGACAAATATCAAACTTGTATAATAACATGAGAAAGTCCATTAAGTTATCAAGAACCAGCAATCCGCCTTTTCTTTTAGCTCAAAGTGATTAAAGAAGAACAGCACCAAACTTCCGTTTTCATGAACCACAGCCCTACTGATGTCTTTCATATCTCATCAAAGAAAAAATGACAAACTGACAGCACCAGAGATTGCATCGACTGTTTTGTTTTTTAGAAGAATAAGTTTTGACAGCACAAAACTGGTTCTGACTATTTCTAACAACGGATGTTGTGAACAATAAACTATAATATATAGATAGTATAGCACAGAATTTACTATGTCATAAAGTTTATTCTATTTTAAAAATAACTCTACTTCCAGTTGGAAGCTCCATTAATCTGTGTAGATTCAGATCTCATCTAACACTAACTCTTTCTTCCATTCAAATGCATATTCACTGACTAAATAATGCAGAAAATTTCTAATCAGAATTTGAATAGTCCATAATGAACACAAGGATAATATGATATCTGAAAATTCTTATTCCACAAGCATGCTGGCTTTCGACCTGCTATCAGCGTATGACATGGGTTTACTCAGATAACATGATTCCTGGGTTTATACTATATTTTTTTGTGGAAAGGGTTTATAATATATACCAAGCACAGGCAAGCAACATGAGATCAGAGAACTGATTGAACTATTTATATATATATAACAACATGAAATCAAAGAAGGTACAGATTGGACAAATTCTATATATACAAGACATTACACCTCTTACTATATTGATATTTGAAATTTTGAACTACACAGAAATAAAATAAGAAATAATTCTGTATACCCAAACCTGCAGATTTCTTTGGGAAGAAGCATCTCCCTCAGCGGAAATGCTATCCAGTCTAATAGCTTGTCTCATGAGCAACTCTATTAATGTTGTGATCTGTACTTCAGCAACTTTATTTCCATTTCTAATATATTTCTCCATGGTAGTAACCTAGCACAAAAGTTTTAAGAAAAATAGAAGCATGTAAGTCAGAGACAATACTGTTGAAAAAAACAATCAAACTATTTGAAATTTGTAGCAGCAGTAATAAATAACTAAAACAAATCTATTCTTTTACATACACATTAATGTTCTGTGAAGGCAATTAAAAGGTCACTTCTACAGTTGCATAGTCAAGCAATCAATGGATAATGACCATTTTGAAATTATCATTTTACACACAAAAAAAAAAGGTGGGCGCGAGTTATGTTCTATACATACATTTTCTATTATTATCAGCTCACGGAAAATCATTTAGGTTACTGTAGGACACTGCAAAAGATGTATCTTTAGCAGATGAGTTCTATACATATTACACTTAAGAATTTCACCTAACTTCAATTATAAGATTTCTGCAGCAACATTATAATAATATCAAGTAGAAGATTACTCTTGCATGTCCTAGTACATAACACAAAGTTCCAAGGGATGAGGTTGTTGCACCTGATCTGCCAATTTGTCAACATCTAGTGAAATGGTGGAGACGGCTCGGTGGGCCCTTTGCATCCTTGCATTCTTGCGCATCTCAGTATATCTTCTCTCCAAGCTTGTCGAGTCCTCAACCAACACAATCTTAGACCGGTTCTTCACACCACATGCATCAAGGTACTCGGTGTCGCCTCTCTGCTTCCCTTTGTAAAGCAGCCTCTGCTCAGCAGGCTGCAACCCTGAATCGGCCGTCAGAAGCTTCTTCAATTCTCCTACAGTAGAAGAGATCAGATAGTTAGAGAATTACAAAGAAGACTCACAATTTAGTACTTAACTACCACAATCAACTGTCACCTTTATATTAAATTAAGTGGGGCATAGGCAAACTGTCGGTGGACTGCACCATTGGTCCAATAAATTTAGGATGCTGGATCAACAGAATCCAATAATTTGAATGGCTCACGCAACAAAGAAATTGCTGCCCATTTGAAAATTGCTGGTTTGGGAATCTAGTTACATAATTAATTCCAAGTTGACTACTGGATTGAATATTAAAGTGACAAAGCAATCTCAAGTTCCAGCTGTGTAGAATCCCAACGAAAGATGGGAACCTGTGACCTCCAACCATTATTTCTAAGAGTTTGTTGAACTTATCGAGTAACAAGCGAACAATGTTTTCGATTCTTGGAAGAACTATGCCGTTTGTACTGTGAAAGAGGAGATTGAAAACGACAAATTTAAAGGAACTAGGAGAAATAAGCTGCAACGGACAAGAAGGGAAAAAAAAAGACTAGAACTTTAATACCTTCTATAGCCTTTCCAGCTAATTGATCAACCAATTTTGATCGCTTTCACACAATTACTGACCCAGAATTGGAAATGATTAGAAGCGAGAACGAAATCAAACGACAAGACAAGCACCAAAGAAGAAGCTAGCTTCACATCAGGATTCACTCGCGAACAGCGTTGACAGCGATAAGGAACTAATTAGTATAGCAAATCGAAGTAGAAAAGAGGAGGAAACTTACCGAAGGTGGCGACGGAGGAGACGGAGACCTCGTATCTGGCAGCGCCATACGAGATTCGGACACGCACCTGCGGCGGCGGCGGTCTCCCGGGGACCGGAGCCCGCTGTTGGACCAGCAAACCTCCCGGCCTCATCTCCCACCCCGCCGCCTCCCCCCACATTTCCTCTGCCGACCCCCCACTCGACCCCCCTTCCGAGCCCGAACGCCGCATCATCTCCGCCGCCCGCGTCTCCCTCCCTCTTCCGGCTCGGCGAGACTTAGCCACCGACAATGTAGAGGCGGTCGGAGGTCTTTTATACCTGCCGGAATCGGAAGCGCAGGATCCAGCGCACCCACCCTATGGAGACGCGGCACGTGTCCATACAGCTCACACAGGCCCACCGACAGCCGTCTGGGTGCAGTGTCGGCTGTTTTCTTCGAGGAATATGTTTATCTACCCGCTAAAATCTACCCTAACATGTACCTGTTATTCGATTGCTAAATACACGGGGCCTTTTCTATCACCCAGTAAGAAATCGCGGATATGTTGAAGTAGGTATAGATGGGTAAATGGTTCTTAAAAATTGCAGTTTTTGAATTCCAGGAACTGTTATCATTTAATGAATTAATTATTTTTAGGCGCATATTAAAACCATAATAAAATTGTAGTAATTGTTTGAAACTTGCCAAATGCATTCATTACATTTGAGGGATAGGCTAATTTGAGTTTAAGTTCCTAAAACCCTAATTTAGGTTAATTTTAGATGACCACAAGCATAGTCAAAGTTCTGACCACACGTCGTGCCACACAGTCAAAGGAAATGCCATGCTGGGACAGACACTACAGGGAGAGAGGTAACACAAGAAGGCTGATGTGATGGGGTTTCACCATGCGGCCTCAGCCAAAGCCTTCAGTTCTTTGCATCGGTCGATCAGATCGGGCAAACCTACAACACAAAGATGATAGGTTGTTTTAGATGATGACCGTACAACTCGAGGAAGAAACAGCTTGTGTTACCTACCTCTCCTCGTCACTGCTTTGGCTCAGGCTTTTGTTGTACTCTGTCTTCAGCTGGGCGGCAATGGAGGAGGCAGCGGCACGCGTCGCTTGGGCTTCCCTGTCTCACGTCTTTTGACCGACATGCACAGGGATCAGAGAGGCTGTGTGACACAGGAGAAGTCTGGGGTTCAGCAGTCTTACCCGACAATGCCGAGCTCCACCGTCGCTTTGTATTGGATGGGGATCTCCATGAGAGCTGCGAGGGCAAAGGCTGCTTCCTTCTCCGCTGCGGTTGCATTGCTCCCCATGATATCGGTGAAGTTAACGAACTGCATCGTACGTGCGACAGAAGCTGAAGACCAGCACAGCATGTTGAGTCTTGGAATAGATGCAAGAAGAAGAAGAAGAATACCTGGAAATTGTCGAAATCACGCGCTGGGATCCTGTCGTCAAACTTCCTCATGTCATCCCATGGTCCGTCGCCAACTCCAACAAGCACAATCGATAATGGATAAGCACTGTCAGCTTCAGAGATGAGCTTTCATGAACTGCAGCAGCGTGCAACTTCGATCATGTAATATGGACACACGTACCTTGCCCTCACGATTGACTCGATTGTTTCCGGTTCTTTGTTGGGGTCTCTGGAGACCTTCACGGCAGAGGGAGGCAGGTGTTCAAAGCTCGATCGAGAAACAAGGGACGGAAAGCAGGGGAGAGCAGAACCTGGCCGTCTGCAATGATGACCAGCACATGATATTGCCCGCCACTGCTCTCGGCAATGTCGACAGCGGTCTCCACGATCGGTGCAAAGGAAGTAGGCCCTTCACGAACCAGATCGTATGTGCAGATTACCCTATTCCCACAACACGAACAGCAAGCGGAGAATTTAAGAGGCATACCTGATAATTTTAAGTGTGGCACAATCTCCCTGTAGCAACGCAAGACTTCGTCGAATCCATGGCAGGGCGAATGATCACTGCGGAAGCTGAACACCCCTTGATCCTTGGTGGTCGCTGGAAGAAGAAGAAGAAGAAGTAGGGAAACATCACATCCAAACCAAGCGACAGCAGCAGAGGAGGAGGAGGCCATACAATCGCCGAATCCGAAGCAAGGAATCAGGTCGTCTTCATCGAACGAGGCCAAAACCTTCCCGATAATGGAGATCGCTTGCTGGTAAGGATTCAACCGGTGGTTGCTGATGTTGTGCAAGCTCAGGTCGTGGAAGGAACGTTTGCCTTGGAAGAAATGAGCAGCGTCGTTAGCGAGATCGAACAGGAAGAACACCATGTTTCTGGGCTGCGTCACACAAACCTGTCCACTCGTTGCTTCCGGTGAAATCAATCCCCAGTATGAGGTTCGATGACTCCAGACCTGCGTCTCTCAAGGCATCGGTGACCTGCGGAATCAACGCCCGTGGAAGAACAGATCAAATCCGCGCCGTGTTGACAGTAACAGCAGCGCAAGCAAGGACCAAGGAGATCCTGCAAGATCCACATCATGACACCCAACCTGTTCGATTGAGGTGTAGTTGTCAGGGATGTAGGCGTATTTCTGCTTCCGTCGACTCCTCTTGGAAGCTTCATCTTTGGTCGTCGGCTGCTCCTCCTCGTCAAGGAAGCTGGGCCGGCATCCTAGAAACCGAGCCACCACGTTGCCCATGTCACTGTTACACAGAAGATATAGGGAGGAAGAAAGAGAGAGATGGGGTTTCTAATACTAAGACTCCAAGGTGGTGGACTGTACTCGTTAGGGTTGGATAAAATGATGGAGATTACTTGATCTGTAGGACTGGTATAATAGATCAGAGATCTCAAAGAAGAGAGAGGAGGAAGAGAGAAAAAGTTTGATTCCATTCTTCTCATACAATCTATGGATGAACTACAGTTACATTACATTTTCATTGTTTTCATATACAACCCCACCAATTGAGTCTTTCATTCAATCTATGAAAAGTGAAATATATGTATGTCCCATATAAGTTTTCTAACCATTGCTATAGCTAATTTATTATCATAAAATATTTCTTGCTGTTCTTCAATATTTTTTGAGAATTTTACTTAGATTATATGAGAAGTAGTCATACATGCTGAAATATACCTTACTTTTGCAAAAATATTGTGCTACAAGAAAATAATACTTGAAAAAATATATATAAAAATAATAAAAATACTCTTTACCATAAAAAAAAAAGCAAAGATAATATCTTTTGTCATCAATTTTGCATTTTTTTTTGTCGAACCATATGCATTATAATCACTTTATAGAACCATTTGAAATCAATAATCACCCATTTCATCAAGCATAGATTTTATTATTTTCATTAATGCTTGATTTTTTTATGTTGAGGTCTATTGAAAAATCTAAATTATCTTTTAATCTATTCATTTTCACAAAACTTACTGTTATAATCTCTAACAATCTATATTGATCAATATGCTTTTCGACAAGATATTTAAACTTATTAAAAATATTAAATACTTCAGATTTTCACCTCATGAAATAAACCTAATTTTTATCTTTTCCGCGGAAACGATTGATGCTTTGAATGTTCATAATCTTATTTTTTTTATGAGAGAAAGTTGATTTATATTCTTCTAGTAATGTCTTTCGTGTATCCGAGGAAAAATGGATAGCTTGTATTCACTATTTAAGTAGCATTAAAATATATCATTTATTCTTATTGTTGTAGATGATAGGTAGAGATGCTCATCTTTGTAGAGGAAACTTCTTGTGTTCTTCTCGTAGTGCTCTCACCTTTATTTATGCGGAGAATACATCTCTTTCCACAAGCAGTGGCCTGTTAGAACATGGAGGTCATCATGCAGCTCTGGAAGAGAGATGTACGTGGACTAGGAATGACATGGGAGCTTCAGCGAGCAGCTTCTCGGTTGCATATATTCTTCCACTTTAAAGCTTTGCCAAAGAGTCTTCAAAAGCGATGAGCATTCTCTGTACCATCGATTGCACTCTTAGACTTTTCTGCTCTCTCTCTTGGACCAGTCGGTGATGATGACAACTGCAACCATTAGTTATCCGAACTGAATCGGGAAGCAATTCGATTAATTATATATTATTTATGTAATTAATTATCTTTAGTATATCGATCTTTATACTTTCAAAAATTACATCGGGATGATCCTCGTAATCGTAAGAATGAAATATTTAACGACGAAAATACCATATTTGTTGTTACGTATGGAAAATAATGATAAAACAAAGTTTAAAAGGTAATTTTACAATGCTATTATCATCTATATTAATTTTTTTTTACTCTCCCTCTCTCTCTCTCTCTCTCTCTCTCTCTCTCTCAATGCTGGTCGAGCTGGCATTGACAGTGAACTAAAGACCTCTCTCTCTCTCTCTCTCACACTCACTCTCCTCTCTCTTTTCTCTTCTCCAACACAAACACAACGTTGGTATCATCCATTCCTACCCTCCTCTCTCTCTCTCTCTCTCTCTCTCTCTCTCTCTGCGCGTTACGGGGTAAAACAACACAGAAAAAGCTTTAAGTGCAGTGCTCACGGATCAGATCTCCCGTTGACGGACCCAATCGGTGTCGGCAACCACCACCGCCGCCACGCCCACCGTACATGAGATCACGTCAATTCAACGTGATCTCATGTACGAAGATTCCACCAAAGAAATAGACACGTTGTTCAAAATAGATTAAATTATAAAAACTCCAACATAATCTTTAAAAATAGGCGATGAAAGATTGGATCGGACAGTCTTAAGTCCCAATCATATCTTTGTTATTTACCCTTTATAAAATTAAACAAGTCAACTAAGATCTTTTATTTTATTACAATAACCCATAATAAAAATATTAGTTCTTATAGAAGAAGAAGAAGAAGAAGAAGAAGAAGAAGAAGAAGAAGAAGAAGTGCCCAAAAATATTATAAAATTACATGAGATACTATTACCTAATCTTTAGGTTGAATTGAAAATTCAGCAGAAACTTCCGATGCAAGCATAAGAGAGATAAGGAGACGAACTCGAAAGCCTATTCTATACGAAGAACATCCTCAACATGTAAGATTTTATCCATCGATGGACGCAATTGACGCTTTCTCCGAGTCATCAAAGGCAATGAACATGGAGTTCCCAAGCACGTTGCCAACTTGCATGGTGTGTAGGACACGCATATGACCATGTCTTCTAAATGGCATACACCAATCCTAGATTGCTCACCACTAAAGAACATTACTCTTTGACCTTTTGGTCCGTGTAAGGTATGTCTGCAAGCAATCGCATAACTCTTGTGGAAGAGTCAAGTTTGTCTAGCTGTGGATACTTTTGCTCTGCCTCCTTCTTCCTCGAGGAGACATGGTATATGTTCGATGCTGATCTGCAACTACACGAGCTGGTAATTCAATGCAAAGAGTATGACATATTCCACACGGATCAAAGTTAAGATAGACATCAACAATATGCACAGTATTCTGTGTGATGTGTTTCAGAGGCTCTTTTCCAACCATCATGCGGAAGTACTGCTGCTTATAAAGACTTCCACTGGCCTCTAATGTAAGCAGTACTTCCAAGCATGTTCTATCTTGATAAGAATAGTCAAAGTTATGCTTCACCTGCCTCCTTGATAGCATAAAAGCTAATTATCATTTGTGATCTTTAGATCTCATTGTGTTTGATTTCCAATTAGGTGTAGCATGGTGGAGGAGTAAAAACAACTTGTGATAAGACAACAAGCCCTGAAACCACAAAACCTTCTTCTTTCATGGCAGCAACCTCATTGATGTATCTCTGAACGAGGTGCATTGAGACACCCAACAATTCAAGAGATGTACAGCTTCATCCCATGGAAGGTATGATTTGGTAACATGTCGCACTCCTCTGGTAGATCAGTAGCCATGTAGAAGCAAACATGCATCGACTGATAGTGGCATGTGAACTAACTAGGCTGAAGTAGCGACATTAAGATGAGAACAAAGCAGTTGAGGACCTTAGGTTGGATCAAAAAGGACATCAACTTTATCTTATAGAGGCTATTATCTCATGAACAATGCAAATAGCGTTGAAGAAACTGATACTGATTGGACAATATTGGCTTTATCCTATACAAGTTATGATCTGGTGCCAAGTCAGAGAACATGGTTTCAAGGAATCAACAGCAAGTTGACCAAGCTTCACTATTGGATGAACTGAATATTATCTGAATCCAGCTCAAGTTTCAACAACCAAATCTTTGGTTGATGAAAGTGAGTGCGATGAGAAAGTGTTACTTTATGTCACTAGATGACATGGATGTTTCAATACCAATCCTTCCAACTTCGATCTGTTCTTAGTCTCCAAAAAATGTTCTTAGATAATTAGAGCTCAGCTTGAGTGTCTCTTAGCAAATAACAACTTGAAGACTGTGTTTGGTTGGAGGATGCTTCCAAACCCCAATTCGAGCTCCAGTATCAATCTTAATTGGTGGGATGAATCCTATCATTTTGATACAAGTAAAAGGATTCAACTTTATCTTTGTGATGCCATTTATCCAGTCATTTTCAGCTGACTGAATAGGATGTTAGGTAAAGCAACAAAGATAGAGAAAAGAGAACAGGAGAGAGAAGAAACGTGCAATATATTCCAACACGCACACACAAACCAGAGGACGGAAACAAGTCTAGCCATTGAAAGTAGAGCACAAGAAAAGTCCACATCTTCATAGTTGTCAATGCATTTAATGATACTTCAATTTCATTGCTTTAACAAAAACTCACCTAATCGCATGATATAAAGAAAAAAAAAAATCACTATTCATGCCGGTAGATAACATCCTCTCATTCATTATTCCTTCCTTCACAAGAACTACTTTTCACAGGAGCCATCCCATTCATGAAGTCCTGTCTCTATCCACATCAAGAGTCCTTCCCCAATAGGAGCTGCTGGTCTCATGGGAACTCTTTCCTTCATCGTCGTCAAGTCAGACACAGCATTTAGACTTTTCTCTGCCTACATTTCCCTTCCTTCTAGTTAATGCACTCCAACGTTTGTTCCCATTGTGCTTCCTGACAAATCTTGTTAACATTCATATATATATATATGTATATATATATATATATGTATGTATGTATATATATATATATAATGGTGTGGATTAATCTCTTAAGATGGATCATCTTCTAAGAAGTTGGGTTCTAACACCAACCTAGCAAACTGGCACAATAATGACAAGAGAACTCCAGCACGTAATTAAACCTCGATGTTAACTTGCCCCATTTAGTCACACGTTGCTCTCCAAATTCATGTGTAGGACCAAACTGCACGTAACCAAAAAGTCATGCAAATGACAGCATGCAGGCTCCCCGTCTCTCTCCCACTATAAGTAGGTCACGTCCCTCCCAGTCCCACATCGATTACCAGTCCAAAGCGACGACCATGGCCGGCCTTCCTTATTCAGCTCCTCACCCTGCCACCATCTCCGCTTCCTCCAACTCCTTTGCATGCCCCTTCCGCAGCAAGGGGCTTGTCTTCCCCTACCCTACCAGAAGAGCACTCCATGTTCGTCCCAACATCGCATGCAAGGCAGGCGAGGAGCACGAGATCGCTGCTAAGGTCGACCGACGCGACGTACTCGTGGGCCTCGGTGGGCTCTGCGGAGCCGCCGCTGGCCTTGGCGGGTTCGATAAAGCCGCCCTCGCTAACCCCATTCAGGCCCCTGATCTCTCCAAGTGCGGCCCTGCCGACCTCCCCACCGGCGTGCCAGTCGTCAACTGCTGCCCGCCCTACCGTCCCGGTGCGAAGATTGTGGATTTCAAGCGGCCGTCGCCGTCCTCCCCACTCCGCGTCCGCCCCGCCGCCCACTTGGTTGACCCCGAGTACCTGGCCAAGTACAAGAAGGCCATCGAGCTCATGAAGGCGCTCCCGGCCGATGACCCTCGCAACTTCATGCAGCAGGCCGACGTCCACTGCGCCTACTGCGACGGCGCTTACGACCAGATCGGCTTCCCCAACCTTGAGATCCAAGTCCACAACAGCTGGCTCTTCTTCCCCTGGCACCGCTTGTACCTCTACTTCAACGAGAGGATCCTCGGCAAGCTCATCGGCGACGACACCTTCTCGCTCCCTTTCTGGAACTGGGACGCACCCGGCGGAATGATGCTGCCTTCGATCTACGCCGATCCTTCGTCACCCCTCTACGACAAACTTCGCGACGCCAAGCACCAACCTCCTGTCCTTGTCGACCTCGACTACAATGGAACCGACCCAACCTTCCCCGACGCCCAGCAAATCGATCACAACCTCAAGATCATGTACCGCCAAGTCTTCTCCAACGGCAAGACGCCGTTGCTGTTCTTAGGCTCAGCTTACCGTGCCGGTGAACAGCCTAACCCTGGCGCGGGCTCCGTCGAGAACATGCCGCACAACAACGTGCACTTGTGGACCGGCGACCGCACCCAGCCCAACTTCGAGAACATGGGCACCTTCTACGCCGCGGCGCGCGACCCCATCTTCTTCGCCCACCACGCCAACATCGACCGCATGTGGTACCTGTGGAAGAAGCTCAGCAGGAAGCACCAGGACTTCAATGACTCGGACTGGCTCAAAGCTTCCTTCCTTTTCTACGACGAGAACGCCGACTTAGTTCGGGTCACGGTCAAGGACTGCTTGGAGACCGATTGGCTGCGCTACACGTACCAAGACGTGAAGATCCCATGGGTGAACGCCCGACCGACTCCCAAGCTCGCCAAGGCGAGGAAAGCCGCCAGCAGTTCGCTGAAAGCCACCGCGGAGGTGCAGTTCCCTGTGACGCTGGAATCCCCGGTCAAAGCGACGGTGAAGAGGCCCAAGGTGGGGAGGAGCGGCAAGGAGAAGGAAGATGAGGAGGAGATACTCATAGTGGAGGGGATCGAGTTCGACCGCGACTACTTCATCAAGTTCGACGTCTTCGTGAACGCGACGGAGGGCGACGGCATCACGGCCGGGGCCAGCGAGTTCGCCGGCAGCTTCGTGAACGTCCCGCACAAGCACAAGCACCGCAAGGATGAGAATAAGCTGAAGACGAGGCTGTGTCTTGGAATCACCGACCTGCTCGAGGACATCGGCGCGGAGGACGACGACAGCGTGCTCGTCACCATCGTGCCGAAGGCGGGCAAAGGAAAGGTGTCCGTCGGCGGTCTTCGGATTGACTTTTCCAAGTGAGGAAATAAAAGAATTCACGTGCCGTGCTTGCTTTCTATGTACGAATAAAATAAGAGTGCATCATCACCGACCATGGTTCTACTTTAAACTTCGTGTTGTACGTTTGATGTCAGTAGTCTCTCATTGTTGTTGTTTACAGTTTCTATGGACATGCATTTGCAGTATCAGTCTTCGTATGTTTCCCGACGTTAAATAGGTTGCATTTCCAGTAGTATTTTTGAAGCTATTAAGAAATATCGAAAAGAAAAAGAAAAAGGAGAAATATTTCCATGGTCAAAGTCAAAATCTTGGTGGCCAATCTTCAAACACACGGGAAAGAGGCTCCCGACATGCGCCGACTCTGACGTCGGGCCCACATCGCTACTTTCTTCGGCCGTCATATCGCGAATCTTAAAGCGGCGACTCTCCGATCCAACGGCTGGTCGCCATGCGGTGGAGGTCACGACGCCAAGCGCGCCGTTGTCTCGTCGGCCGAAACAATCGAGCCCCTTATTCGTACCCGTACGTGATTGGAGAATCTCCACAAGACTTTATAGGGTCCCGCAGGTTAGTGATTATGGTATACGCATGAGGGAAACTAGAACTTTTAGATTCGGTAGAATGATGGAAAACAATACTAATAATGACACATATATATATATATATATATATTTATTTATTTATATATGTATGTATATATATAAACCAGTCGTCTTGAGAGGAGAAAAGGCGTCGCTCCTCGTGCTCAATCCCCCTACCACTTTCCTCCTTCCCTCCGATCTCTCGGGCTTCCCTACCGTCCGATCTCGTCGATCATGTCTTCGGTAAGCGATCCTATCCTCCTATGGACTTCCTGTGCGACTTGTGATCCCTTTTCGGTCGAGTTAGCCCACGGGTGGCGTTCTTCTTGCAATCGGTAGGTGCTTTAGTGTTCGTCTTTCTTCTTTCTTCGACATCGATGAATCGGATGTTGATTATGCAAGCAAGTGTGATACTTTACTCGGAGTTTCCTAATCGAGGGAAATGAGTGAGTTTGTTTAGGTCCGCCTACTGGTTCCTGTCCCGTTTGGGGATGGGCAGAATGTTGTGGGAGAGTGACTGTGGTGTATCGATTTGATAGGTTATGGAACTTGATTGTTCTTACATATATGTAGAAATCGACGATTTTAGGTTTATTTCTGTAAAACCCAGTTTTTTTATGATGTGTCGTCTTTCATCTATTGTGCTTTTTGTTGAATTAGTACTTCTGATGCATTTTCATGTTCTAAGTGCAAGATGTAAAGTAATTCAGGTCATTGGCTTTATGTTAGGAGTTTGAAATCTAGACATGCATTACCTGTTTGTGTAAGATAATTTTCTGTTAACCCAAGACTTCAAATTGGAGTGTCTGAATAGATTGTTTGACCTAGAGTGCTGACTACAAGTTCTTAGACAGACTTCAACTTGAAAAGGTTTACAGGTCCGCGAAATGTCTGTTGATATGTAATTTAGTTATATTTGGATAAGCAGCTACCTAGAATTAGGTATATCATTCTTCTCACTTTCTTGAGCTTAGCGCCTACTGTCAAGCTTCACATTGAATGTAAGAGGATGGTGTTGATTTGTTTCCATACACTCCTTGTCCTTTCTTCTCCAAGCGGGAATTAGATAAATTAAATTTGGCATGATGTTTCTTATCAAACATGTCTCTTATTTTTGGGAAATTCCAAGGGTGATGTGGACCTAATTTGTTAAAGCATATCCAAAATGGAACAATGAAGAACTAACATAATAAGCTGCAGAAGATACTGGAATGTTGGTTCAATTAGGTTTTTTTACCACATCCACTGAAGGAACAATGAGTTTCTTTATTATTGAAGCAATAGTGAACTTGTTTTATTGCCAGTTGAGTTGCCAGCTAAAGCATAATTCTGGGAGAAATAAATAAATAAACCAATGCCTGATCTTACAGATTTCATCTTACATGCCGATTTGTTAGGTTTTTTATAGTTTACATATGTTGCCTTCTCAATCTTCTACGTTGTTGTACTTTCATGTCAGAAGAATTATGGGTTTGAATGAAGTGTTTCTTTTCAAAGTTTTACTTTGTTATACTTATGAGAAGGATTATTGTGCTTTCAAGTACTTGAGTGAACCTTTGCTTTTCAAACTCTTGCTTATGGGAGTACTCAACTGAATTAAAATTTATTTAAGAAGATAATTGAAGTTTATTCAAGGAATAAAGACTCCAAAAACTTATGATAATCTTCTGTGTTGAGAACTAGGAATAACAATAACAAAGAGACATGTGGTTATAGACATGCTAACACAGCTTAACTGCAGTGTGTTCATAAGCTGTTTTTTTTTTTAACTTGTGTAGTTCCTAAGGTTGTTCGATTTTTTTTTTTAATAGTGAGAAGTTGAAGAAGATTGCCTGTTGATTGCTACTCTGCTATGAGATGATCCTTACTTTTTGTTCTAATAATTGTAACTTTAGATGCTAATACATTCAATTTCCAAGCTACAATCCTCTCACTGACATCCGGTGGGTCAGTAATTCAACAGAATGGATGTTCTGTTGGGAAAATTGAGAAATGTGTTTCTTTTTTCGTTTAAAGCGTGTATACCTATGTTAGATGAGGTGGAAGATATTATACAAAAAGTTAGGTTGTTGAGAGGATGTTCAGATACGTAAATGTATGGGTTTGTAATAATGATCGAACAGAAAATTTATACATTTATGAACCATTAAGAATAGTTCTAACGAGGATAAAAATGAGAGAAGACCTATAGTAAAGGAAGATCTTAAAAATATTTTTTTAGAAAGAATAGATATGATGGTCCTTGGTTTGACTGGTTAACCAATGACCACAGATTCTTCACTGTCATTTAAAATTAACTAGCAATTGTTTTCTTGATTAATGCTGCTACTTCAAGCTTCTTCCTCACCTATTTACAGTTTCGGTTATCATTCAGTCTTTTATCTTTTGAGTGCATCAGGAGAAGGGTCAACCACTGCCCAAGTTTGGAGAGTGGGATGTCAACAATCCTGCCTCAGCTGAGGGGTTCACTGTTATATTCAACAAAGCTCGGGATGAAAAGAAGACAGGTGCTAACTCCGGGGCAACAGCAACACCACCAAGAAATGATGCAGGTGGTTTCCAACAAGATGATACCTATCAGTATCGAAGAAAAAGTGTATGATCCTAACTTATGCTTTTCTGTTCCTTAATCATTACTGAACTTTGGATCTAATGATTAGGAAAGAAAAAGATCGAAAACCCATATTTATATTATTTTTGCACTCCTATCCATGATGATATTGATTTCAAACTCAAACTAGCTTGAAACAGTCATTTGCTGCTTTCTGTCGTCACAAGCACAGTGCTCTGTTCTTCTTCTTTTAACTAACCACTATATTTTGATTTGGTTCAGCGGAAGTGGTTTTGCTGCTGTTGAATGCCTGCTGTTTGGAGCCAATAGGTACTTGTTCACCGTAGTTTGGGGTCGCAAGCATAAAGAATGTTTGTTTTATTGTAACAGATGCTGTTTATGAATAATTATCATATCTGGTTCGTGTGAATCGGTATTATTTGTAGACAAAAAAAGAGGGCAGATCGATGGAAGATGGTTTATATCTTGTTCAATTTTGCTGTATGATTGCCGAGTGTAATTAGAAGATACTTGTGTGTAGATTTGCTATAGATGTTGGTTTATTAAACATAAACTTAAAGAGGCAAAGTACAGTAATTACTTTGGAGTATGATGAAGATGTATATATATGCAATTTTGGGTTTATTGAATTATATTTGCTCTTCCCAATTCAGTATCCATTTCCTTTTTCAATACTTTAAATTCTAATCCATATTATGCATGTTTTTCCCAAGTCATTATCATATCAATTGCAGGTCCAAAATGTGTCATCTTCCCATGCATTTTTCATATTACTCCAAAGTGTAAATATAAGAAGAAAAAAAAGGGGGCAAACCAAAGTCACCTCAGCCAACAACACCTCACATGCCTCATTTCTGCTACAGCCATTAATAAAGATAAGGCCCCAAGGAATCTTTCCAATAGTTCAACCTCTGCCATGATTGGTTGTCCTAAATCTTATGAAACACTCTCAAGATTCTTCAAATCTCCACATCATTTCTCTATGTCATAATAATGTAGAAATTTCTAGGGCCTATGATTGTTACTGAAGGTCTGAATCTGGGAGCAATTCCCATGACAGAGACATGGCCCGGAGGCAAAATAGTTTTCTCTGTTCTTGGCTGGCATTTCCAGCCACCAAGCAACATGGAAAACCACATTCCACACGAATCATGGCATGATGTTGTGCCAGAGCACACGGTCCCCAGTCGTTCAAGTTCCATGCAAATGTGTTGTGCTTCTTACTGCGTGTTGGGAAAATGATATGAAGCTCCCATCCATTGATAGATCAAGAGGTGCACTGTTTTGTAAGGATCGAAGCAGCGGACATGTTTAGCATGGATGCATGTTTGTGACAGACTCCGGATGGAGTCGAGTAAGGTTGTGATGGATCAAGAAATTGAATGTTCAGTGACGAAGAGCTTGGATCGGGCAAAACCTTGTGAGCGACGGTGATTCACATAACAGGGATGGATATATGTAGCTGAGTTATGACGAAGAAGAAAAGCCAAGGAGAGATAAGTCTGTCGACAGTGGTTGTGATGATCCACCCGCAGACAGCAGCAACAGCATGTGCCCCATCACCCTCAGTGTGGATTCTCCCTCACTTGGGTGATGTCAGCACCCACATCCCCTGTCACAGCTGCAGCAGAGAGAGAGAGAGAGAGAGCGATAGTAAAGCCAAAGTGATGCCTGGAGCTCAAGTTTTGAGCCTCCCGCAAGCAAATGCTGCAGCTGGGAAGACCCACTGAGCCCTGGACACTCCTGTCATAAAGGAGGAGATCCATCTGCGGTACACCGAGCATCTACTCTCTGGGTGGGCTTCTCGTCGTCGCAAGGTACGCAGGGACGAGAAAGTTCCTGCCTTTATCGCAAAGATCGCTTCTTTTCGCCGGTCTTTGCTGGGTTCTCAGTTTGTTCTTGGTCGGAGGACCGTTTCGCATCAGATCTGTAAGCTATTTTGCTCGGATGATTAGAAAAGCTGGTGTATCAGACGCAACAGGAGGGAGATCTGTACGGATCGGTTGATCGTGTCAAGGATTTCATCGTCTGAGATCTTGCCTCGTTCACGTCAATTCCTCGGATTTCTGGGTTTTGGGAGCATCTCAAAAGGAAAACTCTCGTTTTTCTGTCTCTTTGCTGTTCTAATTTTTACGTTCTTAAGCATTGCTGGTAGATCTTCTTGAAGGATGCTTGGTAGCAGATAAAGATTTGGATTGGATCAAAGAATGACGTTTCTTGGGCTTCTTTTTCTGGGTCTCGCATCATTTTCTTTTGGAACTGGAAATGCTCAAGCGAACAGCTTTCTGGTCGATTGTGGTTCTAATTATAGCACCACTGATGCTAATAGTAGGAAATGGGTTGGAGATTCTTCCGGTGATGGTTTTTCCCTGAGCTATCCTGGAACTACTGCATCGACTTCCACAGTGGAAGAAAACTCCGTTTACCAGTCCTTGTATAAGACTGCTAGAATATTTGATACTCCATCTCACTATGGCTTCAATGTGTCTTCTGGGAGTTACTGCTTGAGGCTTCATTTCTACCCCTTCTCGTTTGTAAATTTGAATGTCAATGATTCAGTGTTTGATGTAACCGCGAACGAGCTCAAGTTGGTTTCTAAGTTCAATGTGCCGGCAGAAATCTCATGTCGGAGCACCACAAACAACTCGGTCATTACTTCCCTGGTGAAAGAGTACTTCCTTTACATCAGTTCAAGTGAACTGCAAATTCGGTTTGTACCGAACTCAGGGTCATTTGCATTTGTCAATGCCATCGAGGTTTTCGAAATACACAACAACTTGTTTGTTGACTCTGTCAACAGAGTAGGCAGCAAGGAGAAGGTTCCTTTGAGTATGAATGACCTTGGAATTGAGACGATGTACCGGTTAAATGTTGGAGGGCCGGCACTTGAGCCAAGCAAAGATCGAGATCTGTGGAGAACATGGGAGCCGGATGATGGATTTATGTTTTCTGTGAATGCTGCTACTGCAATTAGTAGTACATCCAAGATAAGCTATTCATCAGTTAATGACTCTTCGATTGCACCTCTATTGGTTTATGAGACAGCCAGAATAATGTCTGATAATGAAGTTGTTGAGAAGAGATTCAATGTCTCATGGAGGTTTGACATAGATCCCAACTTTGACTACTTGGTCCGGTTGCACTTCTGTGAGTTGATCTATGACAAGCAAAACCAGAGAATTTTCAGAATCTACATCAATAATAAAACTGCGGCGGAAGAATACGATGTGTTTATACGAGCAGGAGGGATGAACAAAGCCTACCATGAAGACTATGTTGATATTGTACCACAGCAGATAGACACCCTTTGGCTTCAGCTAGGGCCTGATTCATCGATAGGTGCTTTGGGTATTGATGCGATCCTCAACGGTGTGGAGATCTTCAAGCTCAGCAGGAATGGAAATTTAGCTCATGTTTCAGAGAGGATTGGTACTGGTGGGGAAGGATTTGGTACAAAGAGGACAAAAAGTAAAGTTCTTTGGGCAGCCACCGGTGGTATTATTTCTGTGGTTACCATTTCCATGGCATGTGTTTTTTATTGCCACCGAATTCAGAAAAGGAAAGCAGATGGTGTTAAGGAGAATCCTCCTGGTTGGCATCCGCTTTTCCTTCATGAGACAATTGCAAGCACCACAAATGCTGGCACATCCAAACTGCCTTTGATCAATGATGGTTTAGCAGCTTCTTATAGGCTTGGTAGAAGATTCACTTTAGCAGAAATTAAAGCTGCGACAAGCAACTTTGACGATTCCTTGGTCATCGGAACTGGAGGCTTTGGCAAGGTCTACAAAGGTGAGATTGATGACGGGATACCGGTTGCTGTGAAGCGAGGAAATCCACAGTCGCAGCAGGGCCTAGCAGAATTTGAAACAGAGATCGAAATGCTGTCAAAGCTTCGGCATCGGCATCTCGTCGCGATGATCGGTTACTGTGAGGAGCAAAGAGAGATGATTTTGGTTTATGAGTACATGGCAAATGGGACACTTCGAAGCCATCTCTATGGCACTGCTCTTCCAGCTTTATCATGGAAACAGCGGGTTGATGCATGCATTGGTGCAGCACGCGGTCTACACTATCTTCACACTGGTGCAGACAGGGGTATTATCCACCGAGATGTCAAGACAACAAACATTTTGTTAGACGAGAACTTTGTTGCAAAGATGGCCGACTTTGGGTTGTCAAGAGCTGGTCCCTCTTTGGATCAGACCCATGTGAGTACTGCAGTGAAAGGGAGTTTTGGTTACCTTGATCCTGAATATTTTCGGAGGCAGCAGTTAACCCAAAAATCAGATGTGTATTCCTTTGGAGTTGTGCTCTTTGAAGTTGTTTGTGCGCGTCCAGTGATAAACCCAAGTTTGCCGAAGGATCAAATAAACCTGGCTGAATGGGCACTGCGATGGCAAAGGCAACGGTCACTTGAGTCGATTTTGGATCCCAGATTGGCAGGAGATTACTCTCTGGAGTCTCTGAAGAAGTTTGGAGAGATTGCAGAGAAATGTCTGGCAGACGAGGGAAAGAACAGACCTACAATGGGGGAGGTACTTTGGCACTTGGAATATGTTTTGCACCTGCACGAAGCATACAGGAAGAGCGGAGATGGGGATTCTTTTGGGAGCGGTGAGTTGGGATTCGCAGATATGTCTTTCTCACTCCCATTTGTCCGAGAAGGAGATGAGGAACCTTTTCCGTAGCCATCAAGATTCAAAGATTTCCTCGAGAGCCAAAAGGCCTTCGACATTGTTCGCTGTAGACAGTTGCTGGTGTTGGTATTCCAAAGCTATTTTACCATCAGAAAAGGCAAGTGGTTGTATCACTTTCCCAGTACTAAAGCTTTTATGCTTGATCTCTTGTGACTGTAACTCCTTGGTACAAAATCTTAAGAAGTTTGTCATGTTAGTGATCCTTCCCTTGTAAAAAGGAAATAGTTTCTCGGAATCATGGAAGAGTTCTAATTCTTTTGAGAGATTTAGCTAATTGTTTGTGATTTAATCATTCTGAAAAGCCAATGTATGTCAGGATTTTGCCAAGGCTGCTAAATAGCAACATTCGTTGCTTTTTTAAACTTCAGATCGTGTGGCGATTACCGGTTTTCACTTCAAGTTATTGTCTATTGATTCAGAATACTTGTTGTCGATCTTTAAGTCTTTTAACATAAGTTATTTTGCTTGTGCTTATTTAGCTGTTCTTGGTAGCTTAAACAAGTGTTGGTATCAACTGGTAAACTTAATTCAATCCAGTATTCTGCTCAAATGTTGCCAGAATCAAAAGTACGAAAACCAAAGACGACTTTTTTTAATTAAAACTCCATAGTTCATTTTGCTGAAAATTGCCAATGAGAGATGTCTCCAGAGGTGCAACAAGAGGATTTTTATTTGATTATTGACTCTTCATGCCAGCACTATTTATACGCAAAATCTGTAATCGATATTACCTAACCTATCGATGTCTTTTGCCTCCTTTTTACCAGGAAAAACTGTTCTAGAGCTAGCCGAGCCGCCAAATGACACTTTGAAATGTGTTTCCTATGAAGGTATCTTCCCTCATGAGCTAGCCTTTTACATCTGGGCACCAGATTGACATGAGATTTATGAAGACCATTTTACTGTGTGTTAAAAACAGACAACAATTGCAGAATGCTTTTTTTTGTGCTTGGCTGTTGGGGGGCAATTATATGGTAGAGTTTTATGAACACAAAACAAACTGCTGCTATCTGATTTGCTGAGAGTCATACTCTTAAGCAGACTTTTATGTAATCAAGGATTGCATTTTGTAGTCATATCCACAGAAGTGCAAATAGGAGGCGTTTCTCTTTTTTGTTGCTTACCAGTCTTTTGTATCATATTCATCATGGAGATTTTATGTTACCGAAGGACGACAGTGTGCCAACAGTTCTGTGAGCACAACACAATCTATATAATGGACATCTCTGCTCATTTTCAAGAACAGTAGTTGATTGATTAAGAATGTTATCTCCTATTTACATTCACTTGATATTTCTGAGATTTTACAGATTATATTAATAACACTTAAAAATACACTAACTTTGTGCAGTTCTGAATGAACGTGCAAAAATAGGTTTGAAGTGGTCTAATAGATAACAAATCAATCCTAGATAATACTCGAAGACCATCGATATGATTGTGGTTAGATAATATGTTTTTTTTAAAAATTATTTTTTTTAACGATCAGTATTTATAAAAGCAAGACACAAATATCAACAAATATTATATCAAACATCCTGTGTTCATGATATTTTTTTCCATTTATTTATTTGACGTTCTCATGGAGACATTTGAGGACGTTATATCTTTTTGACTTTGCTGAATCTTTAATCTTCTGGTCAAATTACAATGCATCTCTTGTCACTCAGTTAGTTTTTGTTGTTATTGTTAAATAGTCAAACTTTGATGTCATAATACTCATAATCACATTTAGCTATGAATATAGAACAATGCCCAATAATAAGTATGATTCTATCAAATATTTCTAACTTATTTTCATTTTTTTTTAACTATTTAATCCAAACCCTTTTCACATTCCTCTCAGCTCAGGATATATATATATATATATATATGTATGTATGTGGAATTACTAATTAACTTGAAAATTGGTATTTACTTGGTTGATTGGCATGGAACTAATAATTGAAAGTTCAATTGACATAAATATCCTTTAGTGATATTTTAGAAAATGAGATAATTATATATAATATATGCTTTTATATATTTTTAAATTCAAACAAACTAACGTCAATCACAATACAAAATGTGAACAATAACGTCATTGGATGGATGTTTTGCTAATATTTTGAGAAATTATTATGTTATATTAAATTTATAAGGTTTAATATGCTAATCCTAAATTTATTACGTTATATCGGCCGTTTAATAAGGGTTGGGTTTCGGCTCAATTCGACCAAATTATCTGTGAACCGTCGGCCCATTAACCCAATCTAACGGGATGGCATGCGGTTCGCCCATCCTACGTTTTCTTTTTTACATTGGCTAAATTACCCTTAGGGTTAGCTTCAAAGATTGGAGCCGCTTCCGGAAAGGAGAAAGTCGATTGGAGCAGCGACAGAGATCATCGAGCGTTTGGGAGTTCCCAAGAGATGAGCGCGAAGGTAAATATTTGATCTTTCCCTCTGTTCATTCTGCTTGAATCGTTCCTTCTCTTGCGATCCTTCGCTTGCGATTGTTTTGTTTTCGAAGGCATATTGTCATTTGCCTCCTTTTTACCAGGAAAAACTGTTCTAGAGCTAGCATTGGTTTGTGCAGTTGTTGCGGAGCCGAGCCGCTAAATTACACTTTAAAATGTGTTTCCTATGAAGGTATCTTCCCACATGAGCTAGCCTTTTACATCTGGGCACCATATTGACATGAGATTTATGAAGACCATTTTACTGTGTGTTAAAAACGACAACAATTGCAGAATGCTTTTTTTTGTGCTTGGCTGTCGGGGGGCAATTATATGGTAGAGTTTTATGAACACAAAACAAACTGCTGCTATCTGATTCGCTGAGAGTCATACTCTCCATGTTAAGCAAACTTTTATGTAATCAAGGATTGCATTTTGTAGTCATATCCACAGAAGTGCAAATAGGAGACGTTTCTCTTTTTTTGTTGCTTACCGGTCTTAATCAAGTAAACATTTTTTATGTTGAATTGACGGTTTGTTTTCATGTTTTGTATCATATTCATCATGGAGATTTTATGTTACCGAAAGACGACACTGTCGACGTATATCCATAGCTTAGGTATTGAAAAGATCATTGTGCCAACAGTTCTGTGAGCACAACACAATCTATATAATGGACATCTCTGCCCAGCGTGAAGCTCCATTTTCAAGAAAAGTAGTTGGTTGATCAATAATGTTATCTCCTATTCACATTCACTTGATATTTCCTGTTCGTTTTATTTTGTAAGATAGCTTCGGATAGAAAATATTTAACTCGAGATTTCACAAGTAAATATATTAATAATACTTAAAAAATAAAATATGTTACGAACATAAACTTTACGAGTTCTGAATAAACGTGTGATAAAAGATCCGAGGTGATCTATCACGCTCAAAAGTCTTCAGCATAACATCGTTACAGGACAAGATAACAAATTAACCTTAGACAATACCTCAAAACTATTCGAGTAGCTTCAAGGTGGTATATTGGCTTACACTTTGCATTACTTAGCGGAGCTAGAAGACTCCCAATATAATCGTGGTTAGATAATATGTTCTTGAAAATTTTATCTTTACTTAACGATGACACATAATTTGTATTTACAAAAGTAAGATGGTCTGATAGTCCTCTACATGTCATGTAAAAAATGAACAAAATCGAAAGACACAAATATACACAAACATTATATCGAACATATTGTGCTCATGATATTTTCTCGTACTTATTCCTTTAACGTTCCCATCTTTAAGGATATTGTATCTTCTAATCATTTCTGAACCTTCAATTTTCTGCTTTAATTACAATGCGTTCTTGGCCTAGTTACTTTTTATTATTGTTGTTATTAAGTAGTCAAACTTTGATACCGTAATACCTATAATTGATGCATTTGGCTATGAATATAGAACATGATTCTTCAAATATTCAGAGAGTTAACTAAGATAGGCCTGCCAACACACATTGATCAAAACCAACTACCAAATCACAAATGCTTCTTACAGATACTAACAAGTCAAATTGCCGAAGAGGTCATCATCACAGAGATGGAATGGATGACCAAATCCATCGGAAAGATGCAGCCTTCCATTTCCATTGTGGATCATAGTACTAGTTTGTGATCTCACTGTTGTCAATAGCCATATATAAACTGTTCTACTTCCTAAATCCGCAACCTCTTCTGTGAACTCTTGTGAAGTATTTCTGCATACCTTCTTTTTTGAGTCCGTATGATCCATCTTCCTCAACTTAATGTTGGCTGGTGATCCCTTAATATGATCCCAATTCTCTGTGTAGAAGTGGAGATGGCACTCCAATCAAATGCTTAGCTTCTTGTTTGTTGGCTGAGAATTATGAGATGGTTTTGAGTCTTTTGACTGTGATAACCTTATTGCTTTGGATGAATGCCATGCATCTAAGCTTGACAGTGAGAACTGTTGCAGAGGACACTTCTGCAACAAAAGATCTACAGCAAATGTTCAACAATTACTTCATGAATCTACTATATGCCTAAGTAGGAAAACATACACAGACATCTGAACCAATCTAGAGAGAGAATAGTACTACTGCATGAAAGGAGCAAAGCAGTAGTACTGTGAAACCTCTGCCTACATGCATGCATACAAAAATAAGTCAATTATTTGGATGATTATTGTTAATATTTTAAGAAATTATTACGTTATATTAAATTTATAGGGGTTAATATGCTAATCCCAAATTTATTATGTTATATTGGTCATTTGCTGAGGGTTGGGTTTTGGCCCAATTTGGCCCAATTATCTGATAACTGTCGGCCCATTAACCCAATTTAGCAGGATGACACGGTGTTCTTTCATTATGTTCTTTCATCGGACGTTTTCCTTCCTCACATTAGCTAAATTAGGTTAGCTTCCTTCTCTGCAATAAATAGGAGCGAGCGGTGGGTTTGAACCCCTCGCCTCTTTCGAAGCCGCTTCCGGATCGATTGGAGCGAGCGTTTGGGAGTTCCCAAGAGATGAGGGCGAAGGTAAATATTTGATCTTTACCTCTGTTCATTCTGCTTTAATCGTTCTTTCGCTTGCGATTGTGTTGTTTCGGAAGGCATATTAGCTTCTTATTTTCTTTATAGCAGTTCAAATCGTAATAGAGTAGCATCGTTTGGCGATCTGATAGCAGGCTGCCGAGAGTTCCCTTTGATCTTTTAGGGTTTGGGATTGCGACGACATTCTATACAAAGATTGGTTTCCCTTTGTTCTCTCTTCTCCTCATTTGGTTAAACGCATCATTGTTTACGTTGGCAGATCTTGTGTTTCTATTGCTAACAAAACTCCATGTACCGTATGATGAAGAGACTCATCCCTTGTCCATCTCATGTCTAGAAGTTGAGCTGGCATAATAATCATCAAATCCGTACCGAACACACGCAAAGTTGTTGTCTTTGTGCGTATATGTCGGTTAGGTTGTACTTGAACCTAAACGTTATTTAGCGGGACCTTTTCTTATGACATCCAATCTGAATGTTTTTCTTTTAATAGGATCATATATTTATCCATTTTATCATCGTTTTGTATCAGCATAACTAGGCAGATGCACTTTGTGCTGATAAGATTTGTTCTTGAATAGATACTTTAGGTTTTGCTGTGGTTTTGTTAATTGAGTGTTAATTTAGTTGATACTTCATAGCTTGGAATTTGATTGTATTTTTTGTTGAACTAAATTGCGTATGCCATGCATAGTTTCACCTCTATCATTAACCTCTGTCACTACATGTCTTTGTCGCTTTTAGTGTAATATTCGTTTGTATTAGTTTGTAATAATGTCTTGTCAAGTTAGGTGGAGTAGGAGAACGAGGGGAGTGATCAAAGTGATGAACCTTCTTGATTATTTTTTATTTGGATGAAAATTTGTATGGCTCAGATAACTTTGTCATTTTTCCTGGTTTTTAATTCCTCCTGTTATTTCTGACATGCAGTGAAAGATGAAATACTTGATTCTCATCTATTTAGTTTGTATTTAAAGAATGGTTGAGTTATTCAGACTATTCTGCTATATTGATGAAAACTCTACCTAATTCAATTATGTTCCACACTTTGTGTTGTACCCGTGGAAATGTTATTTGACTGGTGATTCAAGTCATATTCATATCATAAATATCTGTATTTGACCATGCCTGTCTACAGCAAAATTGAGACAAAGGAGACAAATATAGCAATGAGTTGCATGAGGTTTTCAAGGGGAATCAGCATCACTAACAAGGCTGCTCGATTGGTGGGTGCGAGAGGGTTCGCAATAGCTAGTGGCAAGGGAAAGAAGGGCCCGAAAGGTGGCGCTAATGATGCGCCTAAAGCTTCACTTATGAGCCATGAAGTAAAGAGCACAACAGTTGTTGGAGCCAATATCCTCAAGGATGGTACTGATCCGAAGATAGTGCCCGATTCTGAGTACCCAGACTGGCTGTGGCGCTTGCTCGACAAACGCCCAACGCTGAGTGAACTGCGGCGGAAGGACTCGGAATCTCTCCCATTTGAAGACCTTAAACGCTTCGTGAAGCTGGATAACCGTGCCCGAATCGAGGGAAACAATGCTGCCAGAGCTAAAAATTGAAGTTTATACTAGAATGTTGCCATTGTTGGCTGTTCTCTGCAGTGTAATCCCGTTATGTTTAGAAATGTCATTTTGTAATGATTTCTCATGGCATTGTCATGATGCTGAGAGTTCATGAGTTTCGGTGACAATGCCCAATAATTTGTATGTTTCTATCGGAGACTTCTAAAGTATTTTCTTTTCTAACCTTTTGATCTAAACCCTTTTCAAATTTCTTTTAGCTCTGGCTATATGTATATGGATTTTCTCTTTAACTTGGAAATTGATATTTACTTGGTTGATTGGCATTGAACTAATAATTGAAAGTTCAATTGACATAAATACCCTTTAATGATATTTTAGTAAATGAGATAATTATATATAATGTATGCTTTTATATATTTTTAAATTCAAACAATAATGTTATTGGATTGATGTTTTGTTAATATTTTGAGAAATTATTACGTTATATTAAATTTATAGGGGTTAATATGCTAATCCCAAATTTGTTATATTGCTAATCCCAACTCATTTGCTGAGAGTTGGGTTTGGGCCCAATTTGGCCCAATTTTCTTATAACTGTCGGCCCATTAACCCTATTAAGCATGATTACACGGTGTTCTCACATTAGCTAAATTAGGTTAGCTTCCTTCGCTGCAATAAGTAGGGGCGAGCGGTGGGTTTGAACCCCTCGCCGCTTTCGAAGCCGCTTCCGGATCGATTGGAGCAGCGACGTCGAGCGTTTGGCGTTTGGGAGTTCCCAGGAGATGAGGGCGAAGGTAAATATTTGATCTTTCCCTCATTCTGCTTTAATCATTCTTTCGCTTGCGATTGTGTTCAAATATTAGCTTCTTATTTTCTTTATAGCGGTTCAAATCGTAATAGAGTAGCATCGTTTGACGATATGATAGCAGGCTGCCGAGAGTTCCCTTTGATCTTTTGGGGTTTGGGATTGCGACGACATTCTATACAAAGATTGGTCTCCCCTTGCCGATTAGGTTGTACTTGAAAATACCATCGATGTTCGAAGTCGAGGTAGGGTGTGAGAGGGTTCGCAATAGCTAGTGGCAAGGGAAAGAAGGGCCCGAAAGGTGGCGCTAATGATGCGCCTAAAGCTTCACTTATGAGCCATGAAGTAAAAAGAGCACAACAGTCGTTGGAGCCAATATCCTCAAGGATGGTACTGATCCGAAGATAGTGCCCGATTCTGAGTACCCAGACTGGCTGTGGCGCTTGCTCGACAAACGCCCAACACTGAGTGAACTGCGGCGGAAGGACTCGGAATCTCTCCCATTTGAAGACCTTAAACGCTTCGTGAAGTTGGATAACCGTGCTCGAATCGAGGAAATCAATGCTGCTAGAGCTAAAAATTGAAGTTTATACTAGGATGTTGCCATTGTTGGCTGTTCTCCGCCGTGTAATCCCGTTATGTTTAGAAATGTCATTTGTTAACCTTCACTTTGTGGTATAATCCAGTTTGTAGTGGTTTCTCATGACATTGTCATGATGCAACTAAATTATCTCACTGATGCTGAGAGTTCATGAGTTTTGGTGACAATGCCCAATAATATGTATGTTTCTATCGGAGACTTCTAAAGTATTTCTTTGGTTTTTCTAATCATTTGATCCAAACCCTTTTCACATTCCTTTTAGC